TTAAGTGGACAAAGGATCTAAGTACATGTCTCTCAGAGAGATATATAAATGACCAGTAAACACAGGAAAAGATGCTTACCATCATTAGCCATCAAATAAAAATTGAAACTACAGTGAAGGATTGGGGATATACCTCAGAGGTAGTTGGAGGTACAGTGGTTCTCTAGCATGTACAAGGCCATGGGCTCCATCCCTAACAGCACAAAATTAAGAAAAACAAACAAACAACAAAATGTGATTTCACGCCCACTAAGATAGCTATACTCAAAAACTCAGAAAAAGCCAAGCACAGTAGTACATTCTGGTGATCCCAACTATGACATAAAGCTAGGAGTATAAAGAATGTCAAGGTCAGACATGGCTACATAATGAGTTTGAGGTCATCCTGGGCTACATGAGACCTGGTCGCAAAAAAAAAAAATTAAAACCAGGGACAGGAGCTACTGATATAGCTCAGTTGGTCAAGTACCTGCATAGCATTCACAAAGCAAATCCCTAAATTCAGTCCCCTAGCACTGTATACAAACAGGCATAGTGGTACATGCCTGTAATCCTAGCAATCTGGAGGTGGAGAGAAGAGGATCAGATGTTCAAAGTCATCCTTGGCTACACAGTGAGCTCAAGGCCAGTCTGGGCTATAAGCCATGCTGCCTCAAAATAATAGTAGTAGTAGTAGTAGTAGTAGTAGTAATAATAATAATAATAATAATAGAGGTATAATAATAATAATAGAGGTGTGGTGGCCCATGCCTTTAATCCCAGCACTTGGGAGTCCTTGGGACTCAGAGGTAGGAGGATGTCTGTGAAATGAAGGCCTGGTCTACATAGCAACTTCCAGGCCGTCTGGGGCTACAGTGAGACCCTGTCTCAAAAAAACAAAAACAAAACAAAAGTGGGACTGGAACAACAGATCAGTGGTTAAGAGCACTCTTGCAGAGAACCTGGGTTCAGTTCCCAGCTCCCACATGGTAGCTAACAACCCTCCCTAACTCCAGTTCCAGGGACTCTGACGCCCTCTTCTGGTCTCTGCAGGTATTGCATGCATGGGTGCACTTACATGTATATAAAACACTCATGTACATAAACAAAATTTTAATAAATAAAAATAATTTTTAAAACATGAAAGAAATCAGATAGTAACAACTATAGGCGAAGATATGGTGAACTTGGAACCCCTTTATACATTGCTGTTGGGAATAGAAATTAGTGTGAGCAAGGCTCGCGAGATGGTTCAGTGGTTACAGAGGATCCGGGTTCAGTTACCAGCATCCATAAAGCAACTAACAATCATCTATACTCTAGTTCCAGGGGATGTGAAACCCTCTTCAGACCTCCACAGGCATCGCATGCATGAGTGCATTTACATAAATACAAGCAAAACACTCATACACATAAATAAAATTTTAAAAAGGAAAAGTCATTTTAAAAATTCAAGGTATTTTCACATTTCTACCACAGTGACAATCACAAAAGCAAACAAATGAATTCTCTCAGTAAAAAGAAAAATCAAACAAAATCCAAGGGCTGGGATGAAGCTCTACATTAAAATGCTTGTATGACTTTCTCAACCTAGCACCACACACAGAAAAAATCCGGTTATATACTATTTAAGAGGTACCTAGGGATGGGGATGTAGCTAGTTTAGTAGGTAGAGTGCTTCCCTAGCATGGATGAAGCCCTGGATTCAATCCCCATGAAACCACATGTGGCAGTGCACATCTGTAAAGCCAGCACTCAGAAGGTAGACAGAAGGAGCAGAAGTTCAAGGTCATCTTCAGCTACATAAGAAATTCAAGGCTAGCCTGGGATATGTGAGATACCCTCTGTCAAAAGAAAAAGAAAAAACGAAATACACAAAAAAGGTACCAGGTAACAGATATGAATTTTCCAAGCCTCACGATTTCTCTTGAATGTTCAAATTTTATCAGTGGTAACCAAATATTATTAGTTGTGTTCTTTGAAATGGTATTTTGCTTTCTTCATTATCAATGTCTTCCAAAGCCCCAAGACTGAAGCACCATATAGTATATGTCTGCCGTTCTCAAATAAATGGTGTTTCATGAAAATAGTATTTAGCTTAGCTCACAGCTCCATCACACAAATGTTCTTTCTCAAAATCACCACTGCATGCAAGATGGCTTTGGTTGTACTCCCCAGTCCATCATACAGTGTTAAAGGCAAGTCCCAAGGTCAAGATTTAACAAAATCAATGGATTAATTTGTTTCACAGAAGATTTTTAAAAACTTTTTCTTACATTTATTTATTCAGTTTGTGTGTGTGTGTGTGTGTGTGTGTGAGAGAGAGAGAGAGAGAGAATTTGTGGGCACACTGGTGACACAGCACTTATGTGGAGGTGGAGGTCAGTTTTTGGAGCCCAATTCTCTCCTTCTACCACATGAGTCCTAGGGATCAAACTCTGGTCGCCAGGCTTGCTGGCAAGAACCTTAAAACACTGAGCCATCTCACTGGGCCCTAGGACTTTCTTAAGTGAAACTAGCAGTTTCTTTTCTTTTTTTTTTTTTTTTTTTTTTGAGACACGGTTTCCCTGTAGCCCCAGCTGGCCTGGAACTTGCTATGTAGACCAGGCTGGTCTTTAACTCACAGAGATCCGCGTGCCTAAGCTTCCTGAGGGCTGGGACTAAAAGCGTGCGCCACCACACCTGGCTTTGTTTTTTACTGTAGTGAAAAAACACAATGACTATTAGTATAGTATAGTTTGGTATCACATCTTCAATTTGTGCTAAAGTGCACCAAGGCTAACACAATGAAAATAGCAAATAAATTATTTGCTATTACTTGCAAAAGTATTGTGAAAATGTCACTTAATTGATACAATACTTGCTATTTATTAAATATTTGCAAAATTACTATGAAAATAATTCTGACCAGCTGTCAGAACTGAAACGATCTCAAGCAGCCCCAGGGTCCTCAGACACCATCTGAGAATTTCTCCCTAAGACTACATGGATGCACGTCAGCTTCCTAGCTAGTTTTCCTGCATCTAGTCTCCCTCCTATGTCATACCACTTGGCACTACTTGATATAACTTCCTTCCCCATAAAGTTGCTTTCAACATATTATGCTGAAAATTTTTCAGGGACTGTTCCACTGTATAAAGAATAAAGTTAAATTTCAAATCGAATAACCTCTAAAACTTAGTCCTCAACTCAAGTTCTTATTCTCACCAACCACTATCACCCAATACCAACTTCAATTAAGTCAGGCTGGTCTATTTAGGGTCTCTTAAACCACAATTTACACACCTCTCAATTTTGCCTAAAATCTTCCCCTCAAATCAAACATTTTTTCCTATCATAGCCTTGATTCACAGGGCTTGGTGGCACATGCCTTTAATTCCAACACTGGGGTGGCAGAAGCAGGCATATATCTGAGTTCAAGGCTAGCTGTTCTACATAGCAAGTTCTTAGTCAGACAGAGCTAGAGAGACCCTGTTTCAAACAAACAAAAATTTCCAAATTCAATTCATTCTTTCAAGGCCCAGCTCATTGCCCACAAATTTTATAATGTTTTCTCTTTTTTCTTAAAATTTAATTTTTATTTATTATTTTTATTTTATGTGTATGAGTGCATTATCTGCATGTATGTAATTGCACTCATGTTCTACAATGCCTGCAGAGGTTAGAAGAGGGTGTCAGATCCCCTGGAACTGGATTAGGGATGGTTGTGAGCTGTCATGTGGGTGCTAGGAATCAAACTCAAGTCCTGAGCAAGAGCAGCCAGTGCTCTTAACTGCTGAGCCATCTCTCTAGGCAGGCCCTTATTTTTATGTATATGAGCATATTGCCTGCAGAATGTAAGTGCACCTATATTGTGCAAAGCCCATAGAGGCCAGAAGGTGGTGTTGGATTCTCTGGAACTGGAGTTACAGACAGTTGTTGGCTGCCATGTGGGTGCTGGGAACTGAACCAGGGTCCTCTAGAAGAGCAGCCAGTGCTCTTAACCACTGAGTCACCTCTTCAGCCACCTTATAATGCTTTTTCTAATCACTGATTTAGTGTTTTCATTCTCATAAATATTATAGCAATTATTATATCCATGTTATTTGCTATCTTTTCATAATTCAACTCTTGAATTGTTAGTTAACTTCATTTGATTTCCTTAATCCCCCTGTGAGATATTACATGCTTGGAGTATAGAAACTCTGTGCTACATTTTGAATCTTCTATGGTGCCTACCTAGAACAAGGCAAGAAACATGATAGGAATATGAATTTTCAGAAATGAAATCAATGGATGAATTCCTTTCCCAAAGGCAAGAGGAATTTGGTTAGATGTATGCCTTACATGGTCTGTGACCTACTGATGGTCTTTGAGAGTCTTCTAGGTGGTCAAAAGATTAATTTCTTAAGAGGCATTAATGTTTTTAATAGAAATAATTACCCTATTTAATAAAAATCAGCCCATTTGCAACTCATGAAATGTAATGCTCTCCTTCCCATTAATTCTGATGAAGATTTTGCAATGTTAATCAAAAAAATTCAGAGTAAGTCACCCAAAGGACTGTGATGGAGTGTTTTAAAAGGGGGAAATGATAATCATTGTGCTAAATTAGCAAAGGGACTCAAAGAACTCTATATGCAGCATTCCTACACAGCAAATATGGCCAACATTTTCTATTTGTTAATCTAAGAGACAGTGCAGCAAAGGTGTTTGTTGTGTTAACTTTTTTTGTACTTTCTGTACATTTAATCCATCTTAAAATAAGCATGGAAAACACATTAGGAGGCACTATGAAGCACCTATGGCATGTCAATATACACAAACATAGTATCTGACTGAAGCTCAATGCTGTTCAATGTTTACTTACCAGTGCATCATCTTGCAACGAAGCAAAAAAGAAGCCATAGAGCAAACCAATTTGCTTCTTATGATCAATGAAGTCAAACATTGCAACCAACCAACGATAAAAAAGTACCTATCAAGAGAGAAAATACTTTTTAGAGAAATATAACTAATTGGCACAGAAGAGCTTTAATTCCTCCTCGGTACTATTTTAGAAGGTTCTAGCAAAGTAGGATAAGAGATTTTTATTTCTTAGTAAAAATTTCTGTTCGAACAGAGTCCTTATATCAAACTACACTGTTCCAAAACCACAGGCTAAGCACGAAAGGACACCTCCATTACTCCATAAGCAGCTTTTTGCCAGCCCTTCAGTGGATTCTGAAGGACTCATCATCAAAGTGTTTAAAAAGCTTACCTTGGTATTACCAGAACACTTGCCCACACAGAGCCAGGATACTGCCTTAACCACAGAATCTTCTGATATCAGAGTTGCTGGAATCATGTACTTCAACATCCGCATGTTTACAGCATTCCCTGGAAAGCAGACCAACTCTAAATGAAACTACATTCTAGTGTCTCAATTGTTCCTTTACTAGTAGTATTCACTATGGGTCATAGAAATTGCCCTTCGTATTGAGGGTTAATAAAAACCAACAGTTTATATTTATTATCTCTCATCATTACCATGAACTGCTGTTTAATACAAAATTATAGAGCTTGCAATAAAGTTCAGTGGTAGAGTACTCTCCTACATAGTGAAAGCCCTGGGTTCAAGGTCTGAAAAAACTGTAACTTCAGCATCTAAGAGAAACTATAACTTAGGAGGCAGAGGCAAAACAATCTCTGAGATCGAGGTCAGCCTGGTCTACATAGTGAGTTCTAGGCCAGCTGGGGTGACAGGGAAACGCTGTCTTAAAAAGAAATGAAAGGAGGGAAGCAGGGAGGGAGGGAGGAAGGGAGGGAAGTGGGGAAAGGAAGAAAAAGAAACTATAAAGTCAAATATTTTCTAAGTCTGTATGCATGTGTGTATATGTATATACAGGTGTGCGCACAAATATACACATCTATAAGCAGCCAGAAGTTGATATTGTGTGTCTTCTTCAATTGCGCTCCACCTTATTTATTTTTATTTTATATGCATGAGTGTTTTGTCTGCATGTATGTAAGTATACCACCTGTATACAATGTCCAGAGTCCAGAAGAGGACATTGGATCCCTTGGAACTGGAGTTATTGATGGTTGTTAGCCATCCTGTGGGTTCTGTGAACTGAATCCAGGTCCTCTCTGCAAGAGCCACCAATGCTTTTAACTGCTGGGCCATCTCTCCAGCCCTCTCACCTTATTTTTTGAGACAGGGACTGTCAGCAAACTTGGAGTTCACCAATTCAGCTACACTGGCTGGTCAGCAAGCCCCAGGGATCCTCCAGTCTCCATCTTCTTGGTGCTGGGACTGTAAGTGCATGCCTCCACCCCTGGTTTTTATGTAGGTACTGGTAATCTAAACTCAGGTTCTCAACCTCGTATGGCAAGCACTTTACCTACTAGGGTGTCTCCCCAGCACCTAAAGCCAATTATTTGACCCAAATATTTCTATTAAAAAGAGGGGATTAATGAGGCTAGAGAGATGGCTCAGTGGTTAAGAGGACTGACTGCTCTTACAGAAGACCCAAGTTCTGTTCCCAGCACCCACATGGCAGCTGACAATCGTCCATAATTCTAGTTCCAGGGAATCGGATGCCCTCTTCTGGTTTCTGTGGGGATTGTACAACATGGATGCACTTACTTACATGCAGACAATACACTCATACACATAATATAGAAATAATAAAATATATCTTTTTTAAAAAGAGGATTAAGAGCTAGTCGTGGAGGTACAGGCCTATAATCTTAGCACTCAAGGGGCTGAGGCAAGAGGATAACAAGTTTGAGGCCAGCCTAAGCCACACAGCAAGACCCTGTCTCAAAAAAAAAAGCAAAGGGAGAAAAAAAAGAAAAGAGAAGAAAAAAAGGAAAGGGATGAGAAATGAGCTTCCTTTTTGCTGTTTTTTGAGACAGGGTCTCCCTATAGCCCCAGCAGGCCTGGAACTTGCTATGTAGACCAGGCTGGCATAGATCTCAGATATCCGCCTGCACCTGCTTCCTGAGTGCTGGGATTAAAAGCATATGCCACCACACCTGGCGAGTTTCCTTTTGAGGCAATGAAAATATTTGACAATTGTGATGACTGTATGACTCAGGAAATATGCAAAAAATACAATGCGGCTTTTTCTTAGGACTTCCTTTTTACTTTTCTGGTACCGGGGAATGAACCTACAGCCTCACACATGCTACACAAGCACTCTATCATTGTGCTATATCCTCACCCCAACATGTTCCATTTTGAAAGTATCATCAATTTTATAGCATGTGAATTATATCTCAACAAAAGCCTTTCAACTACAGGGTAATTTCAAAATATTTTTCATTCTAGTTTTATCATGACACAATAGACTCTTGATTTAAAGCTACAGACAGGCATCTTTATGAGTTGTTTCATTTAAGAATAAAAAAGAATAGGGGATAGAGAGACTGCTTAGCAGTTAAGAATGCATGTTGCTCTTGCAAAAGAACTGAGTTCAGTTCCTAGCGCCCACATGGGCAGCTCAAAATAAAAATAATAAAAAAAAATTTTTAACCTTTAAAAAAAATAATTACAAAATAGGTTTGTGTCCTGTACTTTCCCTAAAATTGGGGAAGGCAGCAGAATGGAACAGGTCCCCTTGGGATTGGCTGCTGTCAAATCATTCTATATTAGTCTCATGTTTCCATCCAGCTCTCTGGCTTTCCATATATCCTTTATCAAGTTATATTCATTAAGGTTCCAAGAATTAATGTATTTCTCATCAATTTCTACTCCATCATTTTGTGGAGAAGGAAGCAGTGATGTCAGGCTTAAAAAAAAACCGAAGAATGAAAAACTCTGCTTTTCCTCTGAGGATTCTAGGTTTTATTGCTTCTATTGTCTCCCACTCCCATCCACTAACCCTTTTAAAGTTGAAAACTGCCTCACCAATAACCTCCTACCTATATACCAAATTCAAAGGGAAGAGTCAACGTTTACTCTATTCTTCCCAGGGACTTTCAATATTAATTTCTAAAAGGCCTAAAGTCTCTATGCACTCTGATGCCATTTCTAGCATAACTACTACTTCCTAAATATGCATTTCAAATTCCCCCAAGCGCCCGAAGAGCTAACCATAATGATCTAGTATGGAGAACATCATGGAAACAACTAAGAGAGAAAAAGGAATTACAATTACAATGGTCACATTGGACCTCAGCAAATTTCACATAATATAAAAACAAAAGGAACAAAAACAATAAATAAATAAATAAATAAATAATAAATAAGTAAATGGAACAATAAAAATCCAGAGATTATTCTTATTTTTCTCAGGGTTTGTTTTGTTTCTGCTTTGTTGAGACAGGGTCTTGCTTTGTGGCCAAGGCTAGACTTAAACTCATAGCAATCCTGTGCCTCCCAATGGTTGGGATTCCATATGTGCATCACCACACCCACTTGGTCCAGAGATTATCCTTTCAATTTTGTTATTTTGTCTTTTTTTTTTTTTTTCCGGAGTTGAGGACCAAGCCCAGGGCCTTGTGCTTGCTAGGCAAGTGCTCTACCACTGAGCTAAATCCCCAACCTCTTGTCTTTTTTGTTATTTTGTCTTTTTTTTTTTTCGGTCTTTTTGAGACAGGGTCTCCCTGTAGCTCCAGTTGCCTGGAACTCACTATGTAGACCAGGCTGGCCTCGAACTCACAGAGGATCCGCCTGTCTCTGCCTCCCGGGTGCTGGGACTAAAGGCGTGCACCACCACATCTGGCTCCTTTCAATTTTTAAAACCAAATTTCTAGAGCCTGAGACATGTATTTTGAAATACCTCAATACTTCGTGTATATCAAGAAAAATTTCTGACCCCTAATTTCTGATATATCAGACCATGCCTCATTCCAGCACAGAAACAATGGAACCAGCTGACCATGGACTAAAATCTCTGAAACTATATTGAATTCTTCCTTAGGTATTTGCCACAGTGACAAAAATCAATTAGCTACACAATCAGAATTTACAGGTTCCTTAGGTTCTGCATCTATACATTTAACCAACCAAAAATTAAAAATATTAAATAGGGCACACGAGAACCACTAAATGGGCTCAGTATATATGTATGGATGGATATGTAACAATAATCAAAGAAGAGGACAAGATAGTGAGAAGGACTGAGGGGACATGGGGGGAGTTGATGGGGAACTGGGAGGTATGAATATAACGCAAAGACAAATACACATGTATGAAATTCTCAAAAATTAAAAAAAAATTAAGTGGGAGGCAGAGGCAGGCGAATCTCTGTGAGTTCGAGGCCAGCCTGGTCTACATAGTGAGTTCCAGGTCAGCTGTGGCTACAGGGAGACCCTTTCTAAAAAAAAAATTAAAAAACCAAAAAAAAAAAAAAAAGGAAAAAAAAGCTGGGCGTGGTGGCACACGCCTTTAATCCCAGCCCTCGGGAGGCAGAGGCAGGCTGATCCTCTGTGAGTTCGAGGCCAGCCTAGTCTACATAGTGAGTTCCAGGTCAGCTGGGGCTACAGGGAGAGACCCTGTCTCAAAAAGACCCAAAAAAAAAAAGTAAGAAAAACACTGGCCTGGTCTACATACTGAGTTCCAGGTCAGCTGGGGCTACAGGAGACCCTGTCTCAAAAAAAAATTAAGAAAAACATCTGCCCATTCTTTTTTCTTTTCTTTTCTTTCTTCTTTTGAGACAGGGTCTCCCTATAGTTCAGCTCACCTAGAACTCACTATGTAGACCAGGCTGGCCTCAATATCAAAGATCCATCCACCTGCTTCTCCAACCCAAATGCTAGGATTAAAGCCACCATGCCCAGTCCATTCTACATATTTCAAGGGGAGAAGGGAATGGATAAAATACAGATTCCTGGAAAGGCATGTGAACCAAACCCTATGAAACCAGCACCTATGAAACCACCACCTGTAAGAACAAATCCATCTAAGTCTGGCTTAAATTTCTAGGAAAATACATAGAACTAATCAGATAAAATAACAAAAATAAAATACTTCAGAGTCGTATACTGAGTCAGCCAGTAATGTTACTCTTAAAGTATACACACACACACACACACACACACGCACGCAAAATGGAAGGGTATACACTAATACGCAAAGGCCAGGAAATACTCATTATCTAAAGCACAGAATTTTGATAGCTGTACCATTTTTTAAGCAGAGAAAACAGTGTCAATGTCGGGCATAAACACTAGAATGAGATTTGGGAGATCTAATTTTCCTGGTTCTAGTTCTGATGTTAAGAAAGTCTCTAACCAATCTGTGCCTATTTTCACATCTTTGTATTTTTAATCTTTTTCAAACATTCATTTATCTTTTTAAAAAGTATTTATGTATTTGTGTGTGTGGTGTGTGTGTGTGTGTGTGTGTGTGTGTGTGTGTGTGTTTGTGTGTGTGTGTAGGAATACCTGGGCGTGTATGTGGAGTTCAGAGGACAACTAAGTGGGAGTCAGTTCTCTCCTTCCACTGTGTGGGTCATGGGGAATGAACTCACGTCATCAAGCTTAGAGGCCTTTACTTGATGAGCCACGTTGCTGGTCCATCTTTAAAATGAAGATAAGCTACCTTGCACACCTGAATCTGGATGAGAGACTGCTTCGAGTAAAAACAATGGTGTTCAAGTAGTATTTCTAAGAATCTCTCCTACCTCTACCCCCAAAACAATGAACTTAAGACAGAAAATACCCAAAAGAAGAAGGCGTCTTGGCTGTTAAGGTCAGAAACACTGGAATGAAGTCAGTGTAATAGGAACTTGTCAGGTAAATAAACCTAAAGCAATGAAACAGACTAAGTGATGTCTTAAGGCCCCTTCCGGGAACATTATTTCAATGATTATCTGTGGTTCTAAAGGAAAAAAATGTCAAAAATGGTTACATATGTTGGGTTACGAGAATCCATGCATTTTATTTGTAAAGACAAGGTTACTGGTTACTTTCAGCAATATGCAGACAGAAACTTTTGGCTCATGAAGTAGTCTAAACAGAAGAAATCCCATTTTCTGATCTTATCAGATTGGTCTTACAAAGACAATAGTGCAACTGATTCCAATGAACAATCTAATTATCAAAGAATCTGAAAGAAGCTGGGTGTGGTGGCACATGCCTTTAGTCTCAGCATTAGGGTGGCAGAGGCAGGCGTACCTCTGTGAGTTTAAGGTCAGCCTGGTCTACATAGAGAGTTTTAGGCCAGCTGGGGCTACAGGGAGACCCTGTCTCAAAAAAAAAATACCCAAAGGAAAAAAAAAGAATCTGAAAAGGCAGTCAAGTATGGTAATGCGTGCCTGTAATCCCAGCACTCGAGAGAGGCAGAAGAAGTACCGCACAAGGATCAAAGCAAGCTCAAGGCCACCCCAATCTATTTGTTCTAGGCCAGCTACAGCTACACAACAAGATCCTGTCTCACAAATCAAATCAAAACTGTCTCAAAAGGCAAAACTAACAGCAAACAGACAAATGTATCTCCTCAACATACCAAACTTGCCACTGAGTGCCACATTTAATAGAATATCAATTGCTTCTGGAGTTAACCCATTCTTCCAAGCCACATTTTCCACAGTTTTCAAGTGTTTTTCTAAGATTTTGTCTTTACTCCGTAATGTTTTCATGGGACCTAGAAAAAGAAACAACCATAAAAAAGTGAGACCTTTAAAATTCTTTTTGTCCTCAACCTCAACAATTACAAAAACAACCTAGGTATTCTCTAAAGGAATACATTTATTCAATAAATGTCCTCCTAAAAAATCTTGAGTCTTTAATGTTCAATATTTAGCAGCCACGGTATCTTCAGTGAGGAACACTCCCATCATGCCCCGACACTACTGCTATATACTAAACGAAAGCAGTGAACTTAAACTATAACCTCTTCTAATACTATAATTCCCAAACTCTGCAGTGCATTGAAAGCACAAAGTCTTTGTGTGTGTGTATATGTGTGTTTGTGCGTTTATGTGTGTGTGTGTACCTGTTTTGTGCGAGTGCATGTATGTGTGTAGAAGACAGAGGCTAACACTGGATGTCTTTCTATCACTTGTCACTTTATTTTTTGAGACAGGGCCTCTCACTGAACTTGGAGCTCACCTATTCAGCTAGATTGTATGGCCAGCACATTCCATAGATCCTCCTGTCTCCTCCTCCCTAACTCTGGCATTACAAACACATACCACTGTGCCCAGCTTTTTACATGGATGCTAGGAATTTGAACTCAGGTCCTCAAGCACTTTACCAACTGAGCAAATCTTCCGAGGTTTATGTAGAAGCCTTTAAAAAGTAACAGTGACAGATTATATCCCATACCAACAAAATCAGTATGTAAAAGATAAATAAGTTTTTGGGGTTTTTTGGGGGGGTTCTTTTTAGAGACAGCACTCCCTATAGCAACAGCTGGCCTGAAACTCGGTGTGTAGACCAGGTTGGTCACAGAGATCCATCTGCCTCTGCCTCCCAGTGTTGGGATTAAGGTGTGCATCAGCAACTGGCTTGCATTCGTATGTTTTAAAGATTCCTGGATGATCACAATGTGTAACAATATGGCAACCACTCTGCTGGGAAGATGTTTTGCTTTGTCTTTGATATGCATCATTTTGTTATATAGTAAATTCTCAATAAATGTCTATTAGATAAAAACTTGAATGAATAAAAATATGCTTTCCTTCAAATAAATTTTAGGAAAAAGACTGGAATTTTTTTTGACAGGTTTGCACTATGTAGCCCAAGCTAACTGTTAGCTTATGTTCCTCTTACCTTAACCCTATTCCCAGTGCTGGGATTACAGGTATATGCGCCACCACACCCAGCTCTTAGGATGGGAATCTTCTTAGAGAAATAGAACTTTCAGGAGCTGGGGCTTTGACTCAGTTGGTAGAGTGCTTGCCAAACATGCACCAGGCCCTGGGTTCGATCCCCAGAGCCACATAAACCAGGCATGGTGATGCATACTGTAATCTCAGTGCTCAGGAGCGAGAAGCAGGAGGGTAAGGAGCTCAAAGTCACTCTCAGCTACATATTGAGCTTGAGTCCAGCCTGGGACACATGAAACCTTGTTTTTTTTTTTTTTTTTTTTTTAAAAAAAAAGGATAAACAAATGAAAATGAAGAAACAGCACTTTTATAAAGAAAACAATCTGCCTTTACCTTTCTCAAAGTATTTCACGGCTCTTTGCAGATCATCTTCTGGTTGATCATCAGGATGTTTAGAATCTTCCATTGAACTGTTTAGTTTCGAGCCACTTGATTTCTGTTTTACTTCCCAGGATGAGAGGCTGGTCTGAAAACTATTACTACCCTGTGAAATTCTAGTTCTTACCTGAGAGTTTTTAGTTGCCCTTTGAGTTGACATCATTGTATATATTCTAGATAGAAACAAAAGTCAAGTTACCATTAATCAGCCAGAGACAAGGAGTATATCTGCCTGCATTCCCATATAAAACAGGCATGCAATATATCAACTGACAAGAATTCAAGAGACATAATCCATAGGTTAGTTTTTTCAGAAAGCCTGTGACCTAAACAGAAATAAATTAACAACCTGCCAATATAATACATATCAGCTGAACCCTGACAATGTAAGTTCCCTCTTAAAATGGCTACATCATATAAGCAAGTACAAAAACTTTCCATCTCATGAGCTCATCTGTGTCCACTCCTATTTTCTCTACTCCTCCTTGATTTTGCTTTCAATTTGTATGCTCCCTTCTTTATCAGTACTATGTTAAAACTGCACAATTTAAAAAGCCAAAGTAATGGGCTAGAAAATGGTTCAGCAGTTAAGAGCACTGGCTCCTCTCGCAGAGGGCCCAGGCTCACTTCCCAGCACCCACATAGCAGCTAACAACCATTCATAACTCCAGTTCCATGGGATCCATCTTCCTCTTCTGACCTCCTCAGGCACTGCATGACACAGGTGCACTTAACACACACATACACATAAAATAAAAAATTAAAATTAAAAAGCCAAAGTAGTATCCAGAGTAGAAACACTATCCATTTATTAATTCATGCATTCAATAAATAATTATTGAGTATCATCTTTATGCCAAACACAAGTCTAATAACCAGTGACATAAAAATAAACAGTCAAGGTTCTTGAAACTTACACTGGAGTGGGGGTGGATACAGAGGGGGGAATAAGTCAATGAATAAGAGACTAATGATGAATATAGTTCAGTCAGTGACATGATAAAAATAGGATGGAGTGGAAGTCTACTTTGAAGGATGTTTTCTGAGAGAGCCTCTCTAAGGTAACCTTTAGGGTAAAATCTGAGAACCATGAAGGAATGTAGCATGTGAAGATCTATCAGGAAATTTGTTTATGATCTATTATATAAAATGCACAAAAACCCAATAAAATATTTTTAAAAATATCTAGTGGGAGAGTATTTCACAGGGAAGACATACGAAGACCGTAAAGCAAGAAAGAGTTTTATGTATCAAAGAAAAAGCAATACTACAAGTATGGACAGGGTGGAGAAAAAGAGGTAGTAAAAGATGAAGTCAGAAAGGTAACCAGGGAGATCATATTGGGTCATGTAGGCCAGGAGTAAAGACTGAGTTTTCAGTGTCATGAGAAACTACAGTAGAAGGAGGGCATTTTACCCGTAGGGGGCAGACTAGAGTACAAGGAGTGGTGGGAAGACACCAGGCTCTTGAAGAAGAAAACAGATGACTAGTTTTCAGTAGGCCTAAGGTGTAGCCATGGAGAAATGGAGAAAAGATGACAGATTCATAGTATGTTTTTAGAAGCTGACTGGGTGCGTGCTCCGGCAGCACAAATACTAAAGGCAGCCTGGGCAGACTGTTAAGAAAACAAAAATAAAAAGAATTAGAATAGGTAAAGGGAACCAAGAATGGCTTAATAAGGAACGAAACATGACTTCTAAATTTTTGCCTTTAAGTGGGAAAAACTAAGGGAATGGCTGGAATGACATTCAATCTCATCTTTCTAGAACAGATGAGGCCAGTACAGGAGAACAACACCCACGTTCAAGTCAGAGGGAGGGAGGTCCATCGATGGGCTGTTTCTGAGAATTCTACAAAAGAGCGAGGGAGCAGCTTCTGACTCCACTGAGCAAACTATCCTGGCCCTTCCCAAGGAACCAGCCCACCCAATGGCCAAATTGGCAAAGACGACTCACCCACTGGGCAGATTCCTGAGGCCAGGGAAGAAGACCCTATCCCGCTACCCTTTGCAGGATAGTCTCGCCCTCACGTCTCAGAATATTCCCGGCGATCTCAGAGCCCCCCAGTTTGCACCGTTTTTTAAAAGCACCTCACCTGACCGCCTCTCCGGTCCCACAACCTCCGGAAGCCAAAACCCGCCACAGAGATTCAAAGGCATCGGCCCCGCCCTGCGCATGCGCCTCTGCGGACACCAGCGGCGGCAGCTGCGGAGGAATGAGTTCAGCGGAAACCTGATTGGCTGAAATGCGACTCAACTGCGGGAGATAGCGCCCGCGCCAAGAATGACGCAGACTCCTGACAAAGGCGGCAGGCCCCACCTACCTGGGCCTGCAACCGGCTGTTGCTGCTGGAGTCCGGCGATTGGCTGGCATTCTCTGCGTTCTAGTGAGATTGTGCATAACAGAACTGTCTAGATACTTGAGTTTGACAGGATCAAGTATGGTATTCATTTTCCCTACTTTGACCCCCAATATTGGGACTCGATCTTCAGAAAAATATGAAGCGGTAAACTTCACAGTAAAGGCAGCTTTTTCCCCCGTCTGGGCCCGTCTCCTGCGGAACAAGGGACCCAGAGGAAACTATTAGATCAGCCTGCCTTTCGCTGATGATGGGTACAAATAACCTCCCAAGTTTACTAAAAACGTGTTCTGGGTCAGATGTTAATCGACTGAAGGTGGTCAACTGTCAACATGTAAATAAATAATCCTAACCTTGAAGAATCAACTGATCCTAAAGAAACTAAGGGGCTGGAGAGATGGCTCAGTGGTTAAAAGCACTGATTGTTCTTGCAGAGAACCTGGGTTCAGTTCCCAGCACCCACATAGTGGGTAAGAACCATCTGTAACGCCAGTTCCTGGGAATCCAACGCCCTCTTCTGGCCTCTATGGGCATTGCACAACATGGGCACACAACATACAGGCAAAGCACTCATACACATAAAATAAAAATAAATAGATAAATAATCTTATTTCTCCCCAGGAATGGCGCATGAACATAAGGAAACAGAGGCTTTCAGGCCTCTGGGAACTTGCTCATATGCACTTACAACAATGGTGACAGCATGCACAAGACGCATGCTTATTCAATCAGACAAAACCCAGCTAAGAGCTGGGGAAATGGGTAGCAGGTTCCAACCTTAGCCAAGGAACTGTTAACAACTGACTTTTATTGGGTGAGGGAGAGCTGATAATCTTTTAAAGAAGTGGTTCTAGATAGACTGACTAGACTCCAGTGGATGAACTTGCACTGAGGGACATCTGGGTACAAAAGCTTGAACAGATAGGCCTTAACATATATGACAGAATGCATGAAATCTGGTGAGGGGGTATGTAGAGGTACGGAAGGAGGAGGGTGTCTAAATATGATTAAGGTTTATTGTATGAAATGCATAAAAACTAAATAAACTATACTGAAAATAAATAGCTACATAAGCCTTTTTTTTAAGAAGCTGGACGAAACAACAAAAATTCAGTCTGAGGTCTGATTTTAGCCCCAAATTTAATCTCCACTAAATTAGGAATAAAGCCCAGAGTGGTAGGTTGCACCTGTAATCCCAGCACAGGGGAGGCTGAAGGAGGTGCATCAACCCAGGTTCGAGGCCAGCCTGGGCTACAAAATGAGTTTCAGGACAGCCTGGGCTACAATTTGTCATCTCTTTTTTAAAAAAGACTTAGGAATAAGAGAAAATGTATAAATGTTATGCCTCTCACTGACTTGAAGCTGAAACATTCCTATAAAGTTTAGGCAAATTATATGGAGAAAATCTGCCATCTTAGACACGCATAAATAATCAAAGGTTAAGTTGGAGTATTTGTGAAAGACTGGAGCAGAAATGACTACCACATCTCAGCATAGTTTTCAGAGTAGTTTGACAAACTCATTTACTCATGCATAAAAATTGAGACTGTTCATTTTTTTCTGATAGCTGCTTTTAAGTAAAATTGAAATTTTTATTGAGCCATTTTTCATGATTTTAATCATTTAATAGACTCAGAGAAATGTAAAACAGGTAGGATTTAAGACTTCAACACCCTCCTTTTCGTAGATGAAATGCTACCCTAAGTGATAAAATAACTTGCTTAACATGATAAATTTGTGGCAATGCAACTTGTCCTTTGTGGACACACTGTGATGAACAACAGTGTTTCATATTTATTTAATGAACCCTCTGTTTTCTCTGAAATAATTTTTCATCCTTCCCTTTGAATCACCCAATATTCCAAACCTGGAGATCACATTGGTGTCCTGACTCTAAGGCCTTATGTCTTATGTGCTAACATCAAAGAGCATGAAAGATCTTTAAAGGATTGGGCAAGTTAGCAACTTCACTAATATATTGAGTAAAGATGTTATACCCTCTTCTCCTTCATGTAGACTTTAAAAAAAAAGAGCCTAAATCGAGGCTTGGTGGAATATCCCTTTAACCCTAGCACTTGGGAGACAGAGGCAGGCAGATCTCTAAGTTGGAGGCCAGCCTGTTCTATGTAGTTAGTATCAGTATCAGGTCAGCCAACGATACATAGTGAGACCCTGTCTCAGAAAAAAAAACAAAAACAAAAACAAAAAACCCTGACCCAGGGATAGGGGCACAGGACTAGATGCCCAGTATTTGTGATGTAAAGCAAGAACATCTCTACTTTGAGGCCCATTCAGGCTACACAGTGAGGCCCTGTCTCAAACACATGCCTGTGCAGCTATACACACACACACACACACACACACACACACACACACACACTCAAACACATGCCTGTGCGGCTATACATACACACACACACACACATACACACACACACACACACACACACACACACACACAAAACTTTGGTACAAACTTTTCTTCCCAGGTTTTTCAGTATATACACCATTTCCTCCAAATTTCAAAAACCTTTATTTTGAAAGAATGAGAGAAATAAAGACATTTAATTACCAAGAACAATGACACTGAAGAAAATACAGTAAGTACTCTCCCCACACACAACCCCCACCCCTTTCCCATTGCTGGCACAATAATATTAAAACCATCAAAGCACATTTAACAAGGAGAAACAGCAGTATGTAATGAAGAAAGCAAATTTCCATACTGCTCAATCCAACTAACCCATGACAAATGTCCTTCCCCCAGCCCAATTCCACCCACCAGAATACTAAAGAGGTGTAAGGGAAACAACTCTGGGTGATTTAGACTTTGTTTACATTAGTAAAGTTCAGTGAAGAATCAACAGTAGTGAACCTGTTTGACAGAAACATACTGGAATTTCTGTCAAATTTCAGGTTTCAGAAAACAGGTCTGGAGAGACTGACTTCAAACAGGACCAATCCCTTCTCCCTCAGCTGAAACAGTGGGGAACAAGTGCCATATCCTGGTTAGCTACTGAGAAACAGTGGAAGTAATGCAGCTTTGGCCTTAAAACTGATTGAATTTAAGACTGTTAGTTTGGGCTCAGACAAAGGCAAAGTGACACCTCCTACTCTAACACTTGAAGAGTTAGACTGTCTATTGACTGTATGTATCCCTTGTTTTAATTAAATTTAATGTGGCGTGTCTAAAACTTAAATGTTAAGTGGAGGCTAATTGTATTAAACAAACACTTCCTAAAATTTAAGTTTTCAGCTTAACCTACAGAGGCATCCCCACCCTATATGGGACTAGATCACTTGTTTTGTACCAGAATAGGATTCTCTTTATATGAGGGTTTTTTTTAATTCTACCATTGCTGAATCATGTTATAAAGGGAAGGATACCAGTGCAGGATTAGTTCAAAATCAGAGCCTTCTCCACATGTGCATGTATAAACACATATGGTACTTAAATACATATTTCCCACACATAATCTCACAGTCATATGCTTGCTTGAGTCCATCCCACAAATACACTTCAATAGTAGCCATATACATGTACATGCAGCAAGATGTGAGCATTGCCCCAGAATGATTAAAGGTGGTGCACAAATGTCAATGTGGGGAGGTCATTTTAGGGTATAGGTGTACACAAGCCAATTAACTTGCAGAATGTATTTCTCTTTCCCCCGAAGATAAATAAATCAAATGAAAAACACACACTGACATCTTCCTGGGTGTCATGGAGGCAACTGCCTGGAAAGTCCTCTTTTTGCATTTTCACTTTCCTATGACACCTTCACTTTGCCCTGCGGGGCCTTCTCATATAAGGAGGGTTGCTCCTCAGAACTCGCTGGCAAGGGCTTCTTCTCAGAAGACCTCTCTTCAGGCTTTCGGGCAATCAACAGGCGGCATGTAAGCAGGATTCCAAACACCAGAGCATGGGCGTAGCGTTTCAGAGGATCACCGACTAGCTGATGGAAGAAAAGCACAGCCAACACCAGCAAGAGCAGGAAGAAGTTGGCCACATCTTTGGGACGCCCAGGCACCAGGGTCATGACAATGCCACAGGCCACTTCAAGGGCACCAATACTTTTTCGAAGGAGAATGGAATTGATGCCCATTTTCTTCAGCAGAGGAAGGGCTCGGACATAACTCTTGTAAGCACGTTTCTAGAGTGGGAATATCAAAGGGAAATCAATGCATTAATCACAATTTTAACATCAGAATGAAAAAAACACTAGTAGGGCCCTCCTTACTTACCATCACCTGTCCACACAAGCCAGAAGTATCCCACTTTCCACTTTGTCTCCTACATAAAGCCTTGTAATTAGGATAAGAAAAGAGGAATCAGTCTGTTAGGATCCCTGTGATTTTAAACTTAGTATCACTGATTGGTTTGAATGTTTGTGGTCCCCCACTGCCACCAATTTATTTGCTCAAATCCTAACCTCAAAGGTGAGGGTATTAATAGGTGGCCTTTGTGAACTGATTGGACCATGAGAGTAGCCCCCTTGAATGGGGTTAGTGCTCTTATAAAAGAGGACCCAGAGAGCTGCCTTTGCCCTTCCATCAAGACACAGAAGAACCATCTATGAAGCAGAAAGAGGACCCGGAATGGACACCAAACCTGGTAGCACCTTCACCTCGAATTTAGCCTTCTGAGCTGTGAAAAACAATCGTTTTATACAAGCTGCCAATTTGTAACATTTTGTTATAGCAGTCTGAATGGACTAAGACAAATACCAAAACTAATAACACAGAGACTGCTTTCATAGTATTTTTTTAAAGTAGCTGACCATAAATCATTAAGAATCTTAAAGAGGGACTGGGGGCTGAAGAGGTGGCTCAGCGGTTAAGAACACTGACTGTTCTTGCAGAAGACCCGGGTTCAAATCCCAGCACCCACATGGCAGCTAACAATTGCCTGTAACTCTAGTTCTAGGACATCCGACAGCCTCTTCTGTCCTCCAGCAGCATTGTACAACACAGGTGCACTTACCTACATGCAGACATAACACTCTTACACATAAAAAATAAAAATAATGAATAATAATTTTAAGAAAAAGAATCTTAAAGAGGAGCTGGAGAGGTGGCTCAACTCTTCTTTTCTTGCAGAAGACCCAGGTTCGTATCCCAGAGCCCACATGGTGGCTAACAACCATCCAGTAACTCCAGTTCCAGGGGATCTGATGCCCTCTTCTGTCCTCTGCACGCATTGCATGGCATGTGTGCACTTGCATACATGAACGCAATACATGCATACACATAAAATAAAGCTAAAGCAAAAAAAATTTTTTTAAAGAATTAAAGAGGTAGGTGTAGTGGCACATACCTTTAATCCTAGCACTTGGGAGGTAGAGGCAGATAGATCCCTGTGAGATGGAGGCCTGGGATGGTCTACATACATTTAGGTCAGCTGGGGCTACACAGTGAGACCATCTCAAAACAGAGAGAGAGAGAGAGAGAGAGAGAGAGAGAGAGAGAGGAGAGAATGAGAGAGAGAGGAGAGAATGAGAGAGGGAATGGGGAAGGAAAAGAGAAAGGAAAAGGGAAAGAAAAAAATTAAAGAAATCTTAAAAAAAGAAGAGATTCATGGGACTTGCGATGTAATTAAATCCCAAGTTTGTACACACACATACACACACACACACACACACATCAAAGACACTAGATGAAAGACTAGTACAGGTAGACCTCAATTCTGTAGATGAAGCATCCATGGGTTCAATAAGCTGCAGGCTGAAAATATTGCTTTAAAAACCTATATCTCTACTAAATGTGTACAGAATTTTTATTATTCCCTCTTTATATAAAATTTATGTTTATTATGTTTATTAGATATTGTAAGTAATCTAGAGATGGAAGGATGTGCATACATAATGTAAATACTATGTCATTTTATGTGAGACTTGAGCATCAAGGATTTTGGTATCCTCAGGAAAAGGGGTGTCCTGAAGCCAATCCCCCAAGGATACTGAGTGACAGAATGTATTATAAAAATCAGACAGAAGCCAGGCTTGGTGGCGCACGCCTTTAATTCCAGCACTTGGGAGCCAGAGGCAGGCGGATCTTTGTGAGTTCGAGGCCAGCCTGGTCTACATAGTGAGTTCCAGGGAGACCCTGTCTCAAAAAAAGAGACCCCCCCCAAAAAAAAATCAGACAGAAAGCCAACTTGACCTCTCAGAAGCATGTAGCTCTTTGAATAGTGCTGATATTCTCCAAGTTTGGAAGACACAATGACATTTCTCCCAGTACTGTACAAGTGAATGCACGTTTACTGCATGTACTCTTTATTGTGAGTGGTACAAGATAATCCTCTGTGGACACTATTGAAGACTGCTAGAAGTTTTAGTTTAAACAAATGCATGAAGGGGCTGGAGAGATGCCTCCTCAGCAGTTAAGAGCACTAGTTATTCTTGCAGAAGACGCGGGTTTGAATCCCAGCACCCACATGGCGGCTAACAACCATCTGTAACTATAGGTCCAGGGGATCCGACACCCTCTTTTGATATCCTCAGGCCCTGCACGACACGGGTGCACTTACATACATGCAGGCAATACACTCATACACAAAATAAAAATAAATAAAAAAAATTTAAATGCATGGATTCAGAGCCAAACAGACTGGGCTTCAAGTCCCAGCTCCGCCAACTTTCTAGTTGGAATATCCATGAACAAATTCTTTGACCTCTCTGAGTTTCATTTTCCTGGACAGGGGAGCACTAACAAAGCGGAAGCTATTTAATTCAGCTGCAATACGTAAGAGAATACCAAAACCATTAATCAAAATAAATATATCCATTATGAATAAAATATCAAAATTTCAAACAAAAGCAGGCTTTGACTCTCACACAACCTTGCCTCACCTAATTCTTCCCAATCCTATCCGTCAGAGGCTATATTTCAAATTCACTCCTCTCTTGTCCTGAGCATATAAAAAGATACAAAACGTTAGTCCTACTTCTTCCTCCCTCTTCTCATGTTCAATTAGATCAAGGATTTTTCAGAATGAAATTAAAAGACAGGTTTACCAGGCACAGTAAACCCTAGGCTGAAGGAAGCCAGAGCCATGAGGAGCAGAGCAGGACTGAGGATTACAGGTGTTAGTGAGAGACCTGCCCTTTCTTCTCACAGTTAACCTAGGTATATAACCACCTGCCTCCACCCTCCTGGCGATAGTATAAGAAAGATTTTAGGAAAAGAATTCTAGAACCAAGAGGCTTCTTCAACATCTGTAAGGCACTTTTCTTTTTGAAACAGTTTGCTATAGCTCAGGTTAGCCTCACTATGTAGCTAAGGATGGCCTTGCACCCTTGATCTTCCTGCCTTGACATCCAGAATGATGGGATCACAAGCTTGCACCACAATACCTGACTGTAAGAACCTTTTCTTCCTTCCCTCCCTCCCTTCCTTCCTTCCTTCCTTCCTTCCTTCCTTCCTCTTTTGAAACAGTGTCTCAGGTAATGCAATCTGGTCTCAAACTCAGTAAGCAGCTGAGGTTGTTGATTCTCCTGCCTCTACCTCCCAAGTGCTGGGATTACAGGAGTCCACCACTAGGACCGCCAGGCCCAGCTTTACAATTAGTGATTTTGTGTTGCTAATTCTAATTAGCAACACAAAATTTCTCAGTTCCTAAATCCTAAAGTGTGATGCTTCTGAGGGATGCACAAAGAGACAAGGTAAGGTTCTCACAGTTCTTACAATCACTTCCGACTCCAGCACTTCCAGATATATGCTGGGTGGCTTCTCCAAACTTTTTCTTTGACTAGTAATAACCACTTACCATTCATCATAGACTCTTATCTATACCACTGTGGAATCTGCAGCAGCCATCCTTCTGCAAAATCCTTTTTCTTTTTAGCACTGGGAATCAAACCCAGGGTTTCATACATACAGCTAGGTAACTAACTGCTCAACCACTGAGCTATAGCCTTAATCCTTGTTTTCGCTTTCTTTCCTCTTTTTAATTTCACCAGATCTTTAGCTCAAAGCTGAGCAGGTACAGGTAGGAGCTATTCTCCAGGACTCCAAATAAGAAATGTATAATTTATTAGACACGGGATGGATTTTTACATGATAGGAAGTCTTTTGTTCTTCTCTTGTGGAGTAGGAGAGACATCAAAACACCCGTACTATTGCCTGTCTTAATGCTTGGTCCAGGCTGCCTCACTTCTAACAATAGAACGGTTGTGTGTCTTGAGTCTGTAGTAACTAGGTTTCTAAAGACATTCATAATATTGATAGTAAGAATAAAGAGACCTGACTGATTCACTCTCCCAAAAGGCTGTTGCAATTCACTTTGTTACATCTATTTTATTCCATTCAAAGGATGCAGATTCTAAAACCATAGTTTCCCTGAAGGGGCAAAGAAGTAGAAAACAGAGAAATATTCAGTCACATGTTTCAAATCTCTTTAATCAAAAGCAATCATGTAGCAATGCCCTTGGACCTGTATTTGCTTTTTTCTTATTGTCAGAAGTTTTTGCTTGGAGAAAATTACAAGTATTTTATTACCTCAGTTTCCCCTTTTGTAAATTAATTGAGCATTTTGGAGATTTAATCAAATCACAGTACCATTAGCTTCAACTGAGGGTAATACACACACACACACACACACACACACACACACACTCAGGCACTCACACTCACACATACTTCATTATTAATGAAGCACACAATTAGAAATCCTTACCCTTGTAAGCAACAGTGGTTATTTTAATATCGATGAATCAAGCAGGTCAATTCTTGCGGTGTGAGAACATATGATTCAGAAATGAGTCAAAAGCATATGAAGCTTTTCTTTACTCATTCCTTTTTGTCGTTTATGCTTCATAACACCCCGGGGCCATGATCTCATATTAGTGACATTAAACTTCAACAGCTAGCTCAAAACTGTCAAATAATATTCACTTTTGACCAAAATTAATAACCGAACTAAGTCAGCTAACAAGACAAAATGGGAACAGAGGGTAAATGGTTTGATCTCCTTTAGTTCACTTATGCCAATTACTTGAAAGAAAAAAAATAATTGGGCTACTATACTGTATAATCTACTTCTTTAAAGTCAAGAAAACAGGTAAAACTATCCTCCATTGTTAGTAATCAGGGCAGTAAAGTTACCCTTGGAGGGCAGGAACTGCAAGGCCATAGGGGGTGCGGGGGTGCTGGTCATCTGCTTGTAGTAGGCGCCTAGTTACATGGGAATATTCTGAAATTTTCTTGAGCTATATGATTATGTGCATGTTTTAGTAGATGTGTTATACTTCAATAAAATTTACGGGGAGAATTCTATGAAAGTACAGGAGTGCACTTACAAAAATGTATTTTGGCTAAAAGTCTCAGCCTACCTACTATCTTAGATCATAAAACCTACACAAGTGCTGCAAAATTTGCTGACTCATGTATGGTTTTCGTGAATTTCTGTAGGAAAAAGAAAGCCACCTGTGAATCACAGAGCATTATTTAAACCAATAAAAAGCTCATCACATTTAATTGCCAACTATTCATATGAATGATAAGCGCCTTTTCAGCGATTCCACTTTCCATTGTCATTAATACCTAGCCAAAGAAAACTCTGGCAAACCTGATCCTATTAACTAAGGGGAGCCTTTCCACTTTGCTTCTTAGAGCAGGTAAATCTGGCCTCTATTGTTAAGTCAAAAGCACTCTGAAACAAATTCAAATGTTGAATTCTACAAGATCCCAGACAGGGCTAGGAAATGTTGTGTAGTTCAGCTTGTGATGACTAGCTGTGTGAACTAAGTCACTTCATATTTCAGGGTCTATTTTCTCTCTGAGGAAATAAATATGCTGCACCATTTCCAAGAAGTCTAAGCATCAGTGAATTACTACCCTATTACCTAGTTGGAAAGCAATTAATAGCAGTGATTGGAAGCATAAAAGATTGCCTATGAACATTAAACTACCCAAACATGTTGGGGATGTTTCATCAGGGTTACACAAACAGGAGTGCATTTAACTAACTGCAGATAACCAAATCAATCAAATCAACAGGTCTTTAGCATGAAGGAATACAAAGAATCAGAGACTTGTTCTGTGGTCCTCAAAGTCCAAATCTTTGTGACAGGATTTTGGAGTTTTCTTACCAATCCATATGTAGTCCCCTGTGCTTATAGGATAAAAACACTGCTACAAAAAGCTGAATACAAATTTAATGCAAGTTAGCCAACCATATGTCCCCAGGCACTGCACAAAAAAGTGCTTAGCAGCATCAGTAAGCTTCGCCTCCCAATTCAAGTGAACTAATGAAGCATTTAGTCAAGGGAGTTGCCGATTGTGCAGGATTCACGTGGGATATAGAAGAATGCATGCTTCCTTAAACTGGGGGAGGTATGAGCCAACACATACCAAATGAACTATTCAAAGATGCATATGCAAATTCTGCAGGAGAGCCACCATGCACTACACAGCAGCATGTGGATTCTTCAATATTTTCTGATTGCATAAAGATCTAGTCATGTTTGATTCCATCCCTTAAATGACCATGTAAATTAGTTATCAAACCACCACACAAAAAGAATCAATTATGACTGTCACCTCACCCAAAGCAGTCCTTAAACACTATAGCAAGCATTGTACCAGACATTATGAAAATGTAATCTCAGTTAATGTTTACAACCTTCTGAGGTAAGAATTTGTATTCCCATGTTACAAATAAGGAAACTAAGATCCCAAGAGAGCCAGGATTCAAACTCTAGCCTGTATGAATCAAAATCCTGAACCCATCCACCAGTATTTTCTGAGCCCTCCAGGACAGCCAGAAAAGTTCATAATCACTTGCTTGATTTTGAGCACTTACTCCAGTTATTCTTCATGGAGGGAATAACATCTAAAATATTAATTAATCAGAATAAAAATAAAATGGACAGATAAGCAATGCAAAAAAATCTAAATTTGAGAAATTGACTCTGAAGTAAAATAAACCCCCAAAATATAGACTGGAGAGTTGAACTCATACAAAAAAGGTATTTTCAAGAGTCAGTTGTACATTCTGGCATCCAAAAATCCAATTGTTTTAACTACTAATGACCCCTTTACTGAGGGTATGGAATCATGCACATGGTTTCCAATCTCTTGGCTATATCATTAAATCTAATTTGCTCCAATTTATCCATTAGTAAAATAAGAAGTAACAAGTGAATCTACCTCACAGAGACATTTTGAATAAATAATCTTATAACTACACCACCACTGCCACCACCACCTTGAGATCTTATGAGAAATACCACTACAGTTAATATGTGAGTAAATGCAAGAATGCAAGAATCACTCCTAAGTGGGAAACAGAAAACCTAGATAATCATCCCATCTGTTCAAAGTCTGGCATTCATAGGGACTGTTGACCCCTTCTCAGAAACAAGAAATGGCTCCTGAACTTCATAATCAAAAGCAAAGCAGAGAAATCTAAAGGATGGTGACAGGCAGACAAGGCAAAACTACAATGACTCATTTGATTCATTCATTCACCCATCTATCCCACAAGCTATGTATCCCAGGCTAGCTTAGAACTTCCAATCCTCCTGCTTTAGCCTTCCGACTACTGGCCACAAGTATATATTGAGCACTTTTTGTTCTAGAATTGAATATTCCCTCCCTTTCATATGGGTTCAGGATAAAAGCTGGGACAAGCCTAGGCACTGTGCAATGGACCCTAAGTTAAAAAACCAGGCATTCAGTACAGGAAGGGACCCTGGAAGAGTCCAGAAATCCTCTTTAAGTTTCATACCACTGTGACATCTACTTTCCAGTTAGACTTTCCATCCCTCCAAAAGCCCATAGTACAGAAACACAGAAGAGCTATGTACAGTCCCCCTACAAACCGCCCCCCCGACACACACACAAAAAATTATTCCTTACTGATCTGTTAGAGTATATCTATCCCTATGAGATCTTCAGGCTTGTTTCTTCTTTCTTTCATTAGGCTGCAATAGACAGCTCCACTCCCTAGGAAGAAGCTCACTCTAAACCCATTTGTGGCTGGTCCTCCTCATGAGTTCCTGCCAAGCTGATAGGAAGCTTCCCGGTGACTCCATCTTAGTTGGCTTGCCTGCAGAACCTAACACTGCACTTAGGGTGCAGCATGGGGGTCCTCTATAGCAGCTGGGCAAGGTTTAGAGGACAGGGAGTATAGTGAAGAAAGCTACTATGACCCTAAAGAAGGGGAAAGCTTCAAAATACCTCTGGTGCACACACATAAATGTATAAATATGTACATATAAAAAGTAAAGCGAGAGTACATTCATGTATCTAACACGGAACAGTAAACTATTCCAGACACGACAAAAGCATAAAGGCATTTCTCCTCACCCCTTCCCTGTACTCCAACCTCTTCAAGCCCTTTGGTGACTCCTGGTACCTCACCCTACCCCCTTCTTCAATGCAGGCAGCCTTGGTTACTTATTTTGACCTGATTTCAATTCCATCTGGTCTAACATACTGGGAGGAGGGGAGATGAAAGGAGAAACATATCAGGATTTGCCACTGGGGCTAGACCTCAGCCACCCTCCCCCACCCCGGGGTAATCCCCTGGTGAGGAAGAAACAGAAAGCTCAAGCCAGAGCTGTGTGCAAGTATTTTCTGAACATCTACAATTTGCCAGTCTCCAGCAATTTGCAGCTTATGTGGAGGGGCCCTGGAAAGCTCTGCAGTGGGCTCTAGGAGAGCAATTAATTCCTTTCAGTGCGTGAGGCTCTTCCTTCCTGCCTCAGCCCTAAAAGAAAGTCCCTCTTGTCTCTTTTCTCTCTCCCTTCTGTTCCTCCCCTAAGCTTATTTCCTTCTTGACCTTGAGAGACCAGAAATGTGCTTGCTCCCATTACTGGCACCAGAGCAAAGGCTTCAAGAAGCAGGTTCCCTTCAGCTGGTGGGGAATAGGCAAAGTGACAGGGGCAGAGGAGAAAGATCGAAAGTGCTGGAAACATTCCTTGCCATCTCCTAGTACTCCACTACATAAGAGCAAGTCTACATCACACCCAACTGAGAGATGCAGCCCAGCCCCCAGGTTGCAGAGCTGTTTTGGCCAGTCACCTTCGGTGATTCCAACTCTGCAGAGGGGAAAACCTTGCAGAGGGCCTGGCTCTGGGCAGCCACAGGAGGCCAGGTGGGGATTGCAGGCTGTTTTGCAGGAGGGTACGGGCAGATATAGTAAATTTTGTAGATTAGCCCTACACACAAGACAAAATAAAACATCCATCTCTTCCTCCAGGGAAGGATGGAATCAGAAGCTCAGTGACCCTTATTTGGGGGCAAGACTGCTTTGTCTCCAAGATCCAGATAGTACCCAAGCAATTAAAAGAATATTATCAGCTCTGCACCTGGGATGAAGAAGAAATACCCAGCCAGCGCCTACAAACTGCTAGCTCTAGGAGCCTGTCTCCCCTCACCCCCAGCTCTTCCCCTTCTTTCCCCTTTGTTCCTCCCTAAAATAAATAAACTCTGGCTCAAAAAACTCTTAGGTCAGAGGGAAGACTCAGACTTGCAGCCTGGTGGTGACTGGGACGTTGGGTGTGTGCTGGAAAGAGGGAAGGGCTCCCGCAGAACACAGGTGCTACGCAGGTCTCAGCCATCCCTTGACTTGAAATTGGGGGTCCTCGCTGGGCAGCCCCTCCCCCAACTGGCATGCAGTGGTACCAAAACAGTTGCTCCCGGCATAGCCCACAATGAAATCTCTGATCCAGCCGCTCCTTCCGAGCGGCAAAGTTCTTAAGGAGAAGGGAGGGTCCGGGGTGGGGGAAGAGGTTAAGGGAAAGAGATTGGAGCCAGAGAAAGGAGGGAAGAGGTACTCACAATCCCATGGGGGTGCGCTCCTTACCGCCGGTTTACATCACTTACCATCTCACTGTAGGCATCCTTGCTGAGCCTGGGGGTCAACTTGATAGTCCCCATGAAAACAAAGAAGAGTCCCAGGGCCACAGAGAGGGCCACGATAGTTACGGTTCTGGGGGATGCCATGGATTCACCAAGGCAGGTCCCAACTAATCCTGCTTTGCGCAGCCGGTCTGAGTGAGGCGCAGGCAGTTAGCACGGCGAGGCTAGAGGGACTCAGCGGAGGCAGCAAGCAGCGAGAGAATGACAAAGGGAGAGGAGGGAGCTGGAGAGAAAAATTGAGAGATCGAGATTCAACCACTCTCACTACAACAATCGCTGGGTCCTAATGCCCTACGCTTGCACCTCTCAGGCCCAAAGGATCCTGCAGAAGTTAAGATAAACCCTGAACTGAGGCGGGAACTTCAACTCATAAATGAAAAGAAGGCAGTATATGCCGCGAGTTCAGTCCCAGGATGAGAAATTTAGAAAGACGTCCTTTCTACCACTTCAGCAAGTGCACTTTCATCCCCCTCACACTTACCCTTGGGTTATTCACTCCCTCTTTCAAACTTCATCCTTTCCTTCAGTCAAAACATTAGTTCTCAGGGAGTTATTAGTATATGAAGTTGGTAATACTCAAGGACAAAACTGTTGGCCCGGCCTGGTAGCTCATGTCTGTAATTCCAGCACTCTGCAGGCTGAGGCAGGAGGATGGTGAGTTTAAAGCCAGCCTGGACTACAAAGTAAGATCCACCCCCACCCCCACCCCCCAAAAGAGGAAAATTGTAAAACTACGAAATTCTCAGGCTTCACTGCAGCCAAAGAAGGCTTTGTTTTATGCTTTCTCAAAAAGCCTTACTCAGTAGGTAACTCCCAGGTTTTAAAAGTGGCATTAAAAGACTTTCACATAGTGGCTGGAGAGATGACTCAGCAATAAAGAGCGCTGGAGCTCTTGAAGAGGACCCAGTTTCCAGTCCCAGCACCCACGAGTGGCTAACAACCATCCATTAACTCCAGTTCTAGGGAATTCAAGCATCCATAACTCCAGTTTCAGGGGATCACAACATCCTCTTCTGGCCTCCATGGGCATTGCATGCACAGGTGTGCTTCCATACATGCAGGCAAAATATTCATACACATAGAAATTGAATAAATAAAACTTCGTATGAGGCTGGGGACTTAGCTCAGTTTGTAGAATGCTTAGCTCAGTTTGTTGAGAGCTTCCTAGCATCCAGGAAGCTCTGGGTTAGATCCCCAGCACCATGTAAAACAGGGTGTGGTGGTACATGCCTGTAATCCCATTACTCAGGAGGTGAAAGCAGGAGGGTCAGGAATTAAAGGTTATCCTCAGCTACATAGTGAGTTCCAGGCCAGCATGGGCTACATGAGACTCTGATGAAAAACTTTACATTTTGACTCTGTTTCTCAAAGAGTTACTTATCTGTAATCCTAGTACTTAGGAGGTGGAGGGAGGAGGATCAGGAGTTCAAGGCCAGTTTCAGCAATGAGTAAGTTGACTAATATACCTTTGGCTGGGAAGAAGGAATGTCTGTGATGACATTGAGGGGAGGGCAAGGGTCTTGAAGGAAATTTGTGCTGCTTCTGTAGTTATTTGCTTTTCTTTTCTTTCTTCCTTTCTTTTTCATTTTTAAAAAATATTTTTATTGCTTCTTTGAGAATTTTATACAATGTATTTTGGCCTGGTGTGGTGGCACACACCTTTAATCCCAGCACTTGGGAGGTAGAGGCAGGCAGATCTTTGTGAGTTCCAGGCCAGCCTGGTCTACATAGTGAGTTCCAGGCCAGCTGGGGCTAAGGGAGACCCTGTCTCAAAAAATGTATTTTGATCATATTCAGACCCCTCCTCCCATCTCCTCTCAGATCCACCCCTATTCCCCAACCCTCTACCTCATTTCATGTCCTCTATAATTTTCTTTAAAGTTTCTCCCCTTTGGCCTGTGACCTGTTTAGCTGCAGGATCTTGGCCTAATAACAGTGCCAGGTAGGTCTCCATTTTGTGAAGTGGACCTTAAATCCAATCAGAAAGAATCTATACAATCAGATAGAATCCTGTGATGTATCCCTAGTTGGGCTGGTACCAACTATGTAGTCCAAGCTGACTTTGAACTCATGGCAATCCCCCTGCTTCCACCTCCCAAGTGCTAGGTTTATAAGCATGTCTCACCATATCAGGCTTCCATAGGTATTTTTTAAACTTACTAATATGAAGATATTAGACATGGTGCTGTGACACATGTGCTATGAAATTTGTAGCAGTCTATTTTACTGATGGAAACTGATCAAGAAGTGGAGAGATTCCTTGAATCTAGAGCACAGTCCTCACTTTCTAGGCATTCAGAGTGTTTGCTGCTATGGTGCCTCTTTAATTCATTTAAAAGGTGATAATGCTTAAAAGACACTGGACATCGGGCTAGAGAGATGGCTCAGTGGTTTAGAGCAGTAGCTGCTCTTGCAGAGGACCCAGGTTTGATTCCCAGCACCCTCATGGTGGCTAACAACTGTCCATAACTCCAGTTCCAGGGGATCCAATGCCTTCTTCTGACCTCTGTGGGCATTGTACACATGTGGTACACTTGGAGCAGCCAGTGCACTTAATCGCTGAGTCATCTATTTAACCCATCTCTGTATTTTTTTAAAACAGTTTTATACTGTTTGTACATTTAAAACTGTTAGCTAAATCTGTCCTCACTGGTTTAGCTTATCATTTATTTTTTTCTATTTTTCCTCATTGCTTTATGATGCTTCCTTTACTGAGTATCAGCTATTTATTTATTTATTTATTTATTTATTTATTTATTTATTTATTTAGACAATGTCTCCCAATGTTGCTTTTACTGTTCTGGAACTTGTTGTGTAGATCAGGTAGGGTTTGATCTCACAGAGAGCCACCTCCTTCTGCCTCCCAAGTGCTGGAATTAAAGGCATGCACCACAATGCCTGGCTTTCTGATCTTTTTTACTAGGTAAATTTCATAACTCTTGTGTTCCTAATTTGTTCACTAATTTTTCTGATAGTATTTCAATATTTTATATAACTTAAATTTATATTGTATTATCTTATAAGCCAACTCTTCATAGCTATTCATTTTCAAATTTTTCTTGCTATTATCTCTTATAAGAGATAAAGGACCACTTTATCAATGTGAAACTGCTTTAAATTTTGACTCGTTTCAATTAAGCACATAATTAAATTTTTAAAAATTGATGTCTTACAAAATACAGTTTTCTTATGCAGAAATAGAACACTAATTTCCATTTATTCAAATTCTAGTTGCTGAAATTCACACAGATGTCTTTGTTTCCTTTATGAAAGTTTTATCATATTTCATTTTAGTTTTGTCTGTTTTGTTTTGGGACACAGCCTCCCTGTGTTGCCCAGGCTGGTCTCAAACTTGTGGGCTAAACTTCCCCCTCAGCCTCTAGAGGAGCTGGAACTACAGATACACACCACTATGCCCAGATTTTTATTTAATTTGAAATTGAAAAATTAAAATTCCATATATATGGTAAAATCTGATGTTTCCTGCATGTCAAATTAAAAAATCATGCTTATTAGCATATCCATCTGTCAAATAAGTATCATTTCATTTTGGTGAAAATATTTAAATTTTCTTTCTTTGAGTTACTTTGAAATATACAGTACATTAATACTGCTGAGCCTCGCAGCTCAAGTTGGCTAAGAGATGAGAATACCATGTAAAAGGCCTGCCTGAGCTGCAGAGTGAGGAGTTCAAGGCTAACCTGGGCAACTTAGTGAGAACCAGTCTTAAAGTTTAATATATATATAT